TGATCTTGAAGTCGATGCCGATCGTCGTGATGAACGAGGGTGTGAACGAGTCCTCCGAGAAGCGGAGGAGGCAGCAGGACTTGCCCACGCCCGAGTCTCCAATCAGCAGGAGCTTGATCTATAAACAGACATACAAAACACTGTCAGCATCTTGGTTGGGTCCCACGAGAGATGGGAGGGGGGCGGGAAAACCGGAGTTCCCGGGGAGTGTGATTGTTGTTGTATCGTGTAAATAGGGGGGTTTTGCCATACCAAAAAGTCGTAATTCCTGTTACTCGACATGCTGGGCGGTTGATGATCTATCTGTCTTTCTGTCGGTATTGTGTAGATTCGAGTCAAATATGGAATTCGGCAGCGTCGGGGGATAAAACTCTCGGATGGCAGGTAGGGCGGGTTTGATGGGTTCTCTCGCTCAGGGACAGGTGAAATGCGGTTAGGTTAGGGTTGCCTGTAGGTAATCGTAATGCGCACAATCGAGAGTCTTTCACAGATTAGTTTTTGTAATGTGTGTATCGAGGGAACCGAACTGCGAGTAAAAAAGGAGTGACACGGGTCAGCAACGGGTGGGATTTTTTGATGTATTTGGGTCAAGAGATGACGGCGGCAGCAACTGTTTGGTTATGACAAAGTCTGGGCGGCCCACGGTGAATCAGGGGACTAGATGACCAAAGGCAGGGACGGGGCCTTATGATCGGTAGTTGTGTAAAGTCGGTGAGGGTGGGCAGGACGAAAGGATGGCCTTGAACTTACAAGAGCAGCAGAGCAGAGAGCAACCTGGAAGCAATGGTCGCTTCCCAGGAATCCAGGGACTGCGTAATCAAAGCGTCGTGTTCTAGGTTGCAGCGGCACCGGCGGGGAGAAACTCGACGGCGGCGGGCGTGTCGGGATGGTCAGAAGACACAACGGACTCGGCGGGAAAAGATGGCGACAAAGAGCAATCGGTGACGTCCCTTTGCAAATTGTCCTGGAGGTGAGCCTCAACACGCAACTGGAAGCTTGGGAGGTCATGCAGCGAGAGGGACAGCGGCCACAGGTCACCAGGGGTCTTGGCAGCAGCAACCACAGGGCCTGGCCGAGCGCTGGGGCCAAGGGTCACACAGACAAGCCCCACTACGCCACAACGTGTTATCAATCCGCCAGTCTTGACATTGTTCTCATAATCATCATGATAGGTCTATTTCTTGTCTAAAAATACTCCGAATATGCCCAGCGGATCCTGTCAAGCACCCTGAACAGCTCGGGAACCGCCCTAGCCTTTGCGAACTCATCGAGATCCTCAATAAACTCCTTTTCAACCTCGCGAGGAAGATTTCCCTGAGAGAGGTTGCGTAGGACGTGAGCTTCGCAGACCAACAGACCGCGGTCCCGGTAAGAAATGGTGTTGTCCTGGAGGTTGTGTTGCGCCTCGGTCAATATTCTATCCATCTTGCGCAAGACACGACGGGTGCGGCGAGCTCGCTGGCCACGGCGCAAGCCCTTGCGGCTGCCGAATGCTGTTCTGAAATATTGAATAATTCCAATCGAGACTGCAACGTGTCAGCCATGTCCAGATTGTCAAGAACCAAGGATAACCGTACCAAGAATACCGGGTGTCAGCCCAATAAAACCAAACACCAATTCTTGACTCTTCAGCAGCGCATCAATGCCGCTGATAGCCACCTCAAGATCGACCTTTGTCTTCTGCACCTGGATGAGAACCGACCGGACCAAATCTCCCCTGATGGCGCCCACAAAGGGCTTCTTCAGATCCTTTTCGTATGCTTTCAGGATGGGAGTAACATCTCCCTCCTTCACCCGAGTCCGGATCTCAGCAACCTGGGCCTCGGTGATGGTTGAATTACCAACAGCAATGTCAGGGTTGTCTCGAGAGAATTCCACCACCATGCGCTCCAGACTTTCGCGATCGGCTTTCAAGCTGTCGCGGCTCATGATGGCAATCTCGCTGGCTTCATCGTGACGGATCGTACCGATGACCTTCTTGATCGGCTCCACCACCCAGTTGAACCAAAAATCCCGAGTGGTTGCACCAAGATCCCGTATCCAGTTGATAATGTCGGCTTTCCTGTTTACAAGAACGCGGAGGATTGTCGAGGACGAAAGGAGGAGAGCGATGGCCGGAATCCAGTATCTGACGAGTCGGGAAGGGCGACCATTCTTGCGGGCCAACACCGAGGTAGACACGGCATGCTGGGGAATGCCCTCGTCAAGGATGTTGAGGAGTCGGCGGGCAAGGATGGCAGGTCTTGCAGCCTGCGCAGCGTCATCTGTGTGAATTGACAACTCGGGATCGTGCTGAACACCGGAAAAGATGTTGTCTTCGAACTCTTTCATATTGTGTTCGAGGGTGAGCGAACCGCGGAGGATCGAGTCCATCAGAGCAACGCTTCGCTCCAGCACCACTCGCCACTCCTCGTGGTAAACAGTCGCTTCAACCACTGAACCATCGTCTGGTGTCCGTATGTCGAGTCCCTCGTCCAAAAGCACGCCCAGACCAGTTGCCGTCATTTCCCGGAGTTTTTGGAGACGAGCCAGCTTGCGTCGGGCATCCGAACGGCCGGTATCAACCCGACCAAGGACACGCCTGATGTTACCCAGAGACTTTTCCGTCATGCTTTCTCGGACGATACCATAAAACTCGCGCCATTGCTGTGTCAAGTTGATTTCAGTTACAGACTCTGCGGCGGCGTTCTTGTCACCAGACCCTGATTCTGACTGTGTTGATGAGGTGCCGGCGGTAAGTACCTCCCCCTCCCTGTCTGTCCTAGACTCGCGCCGGGATCGAGGGGCTGAACGATGCTCGAGTTGTTGCTGTCGCCACTCGTTAAAGCGATCCAAACTTTCTCGCCAGACTTCCCTGGTCCATTCCCCCATCCGCACCGGTGATGATTGCATCGTGTAAAGAAGGCTGTTGGGGTAGGAGCTCAAGATCTCGTCCCAGTACCAGATATCGTCGCTCAGTGGCTTTATCTGATCAAGCAGGGAGCTCATCAAAAGACCATATGTTTGAATAGTGGCCTTTCCAACCAAATGCCATTCAGCATCCACCTCGACCATCCATTTCTCAGCGTGAAGCTCCTCATTTTGATCCTCGTTTGCCAGGCCAGACTCAATCAACAAGTTTCGAATTCGCCTCTTGGATATATGGCCCAGTGAGAGCGAGCTGGAAGAGAGCTGCTTTGCAATCTGAAGCAGCTCAGTAACTCGGGGTTCTGATGCCAGGTGGAAGTCCCCGCCACGGTTGGAACGTAGATGCAGATTGTCATCTTCCTCACCAAACCCCAACTGTACAAGTGAGACTTTGTCGATGAGTGCATCGAGACGACGCACTCGACTGCATAGCAACAAAAAAAGGCCAAAGTCAACATATGCATCTTTCAAAACATGGGGAATCCCATCCCCGCGGAGGGGTAGGTGGGTGGTGGGTGGGTTACTAACTCGGCCACAATCGACATTTTGATAAAGATTCCCAAACGAGGTTAGGCGGGGTACTCGACGAATTCGTTGCTTTCACCGCCGTACGTAACTGCTCAGGGGCTGTGTCGAGATGGACGCGCAAAAAGTGGCGAGTTGTGAGTCCAGAGCTTCGGCTCCCGAGAGGACCGATCAGGCCATCCGAACTGATGGCGGAAGTTGGGAATCCGGTGGTTTGGTGCGAATCAAACCCACCCTGGTGGGGCTGGGATCCTTGAGGCGGTTTGGGTCGTGAGATATTCAAATGAGATCACGCCGATGGAAATACCTGCGGGGATGTTGGAACAGCGAATGTAACACTGGGAATTTTTGAAAGAACCGCAGGGCTGAGAAAGAAAATGTTTGTATCAATTGAAAAACTGGAAAATACAACCTGAGCGGCTCTGTGGCCGTCAAACTGGGAAGCTGTCAGGCTGCGTAATGATTTCATAGCTGCCGTGTGGCCCACTCTTTGTTACAAAGCAAGCACCGTTTGACGCATACTTGAGTACAGAGTAGTCGGCTTTATAAGCTCTCCAGTCTCGAGATCTCGAAGAAACTCGGCCACTTCTGAATGAGATATCAACCATGTCCCTGGGTTCGGTGACAGCATGTGCAAGTAGCGGTGGCCCTGCAAGTCAAGTGGTTGTTGAAACGAAACAGGTCGGTAGAAACAAGCACGCGGGCGGTGAACGGTGAACAAGCGGAAGAAACAGCGTTCCCAAAGAGGCGGAAATTGCCGTTTACATGCAGGTAACGGTGTATGGTGTCTTGGCAGGCACACATCAGACGACCCGACAACGGATTGGTTCAACTGATTCCACGCAGCCAATTGATTCGCTGGTGATGCCCCACTTGGCGTGCACGGAAGGCGGAAAGGGGTTTTTGGAGGTGGGCCGATCCAGCTGTGAACCGTGCCATTGGCCCATTTAGAGCTTTGCATTGGGAATGCCAAACCGTGCCAGCAGTTCTCGATAAAAAACCATCCTATCCCTGACCCTTTTTTTGTTACCTCTCCCCTATCTTCCTCGATTGCGCGCGCGACCAGCTTTCGACTTGGGGGCCGTTGTTCTTTTTCTTCCTCCCTTTTTTTCCCTTATCTACGACCGCTTCTCCTGGCTGGAGCGATCTCTCTCTACATCTTCACTTTACACTCCTTCTTCTCTCTGCCTTTGCGGACCCTTATCATAATCACCCATCATGGCGTACGCCGCTCTGTCCGTATCCCGTTCACCGCTCCGGTCGCGTCATGGCGAAAGCTAACATTTTCTGTACAGCAACTCGACCATTGGTGGTCTGGGTTCAACAGCTACCTTCTCTAATGTCTTCGACGAGGTCTCCAAGGCCGCCGTCGACCTTAATGTTGCCGAGCGTCTCTGGGCGGTATGCGCGAACCTCCTCCCCCAATCTCAACACTTTCGACCGAGCATGCTGACAACCACCTAGTCCTGGTACCTCTGGATGCAGAATGACACAATCGCGACGGGTATTATGAGTTTCGTCATGCACGAGCTCGTCTACTTTGGCAGATCGCTCCCCTGGATCATCATCGACGCCATCCCCTTCTTCAACAAGTGGAAGTTGCAAAACGTGAGTTTCTCGCGCGCGCAACCAAGCACATTCACAGCAGCTCAGACTAACAACCACCCAGACCAAGGTCCCAACATGGAGAGAGCAGTGGGAATGCGCCGCTCTCGTTCTCATCAGTCACTGCACCGTCGAACTCCCCCAGATCTGGCTCTTCCACCCCATCGCCACCTACTTCGGAATGGAGTACGGTGTCCCCTTCCCTCCCGCCTGGAAGATCGCCATGCAAATCGTCATCTTCTTCATCCTCGAGGATGCATGGCACTACTGGTTTCACCGCGCGCTCCACTACGGTCCCCTCTACAAGTCGATTCACAAGCTCCACCACACCTACAGCGCCCCCTTCGGTCTCGCCGCTGAGTACGCCTCTCCCATCGAAGTCATGCTCCTCGGTTTCGGCATTGTCGGCTGCCCCATTGTCTGGACTTTGATCACCAACGACTTCCACCTTGTGACCATGTACCTCTGGATCGTCCTCCGCCTCTTCCAGGCCATCGACGCCCACAGCGGTTACGACTTCCCCTGGTCTCTTCGTCACATCCTCCCCTTCTGGGCTGGTGCTGACCACCACGATCTTCACCATGAGCGCTTCATTGGCAACTATGCCTCTTCTTTCCGCTGGTGGGACTACTGCCTTGACACCGAGGCCGGTGAGGCGGCGTCTAAGAAGCGTCGCGAGCGCAAGCTGGCTGAGATTAGAGCCAAGAAGGCGCAGTAAATGGTGGTGGGCATGTGATGCCATACTCCTATAGAAGGTTGATTTTTCGGAGAGGATTTGGGGCCCGGTTGACCGACCATCCCATAATGGGATGTGATGGGCGGTTAGTCACGGCAAAAAAAGATCAGAAAGGGTCGGTTTGGCGGGAGGGTGGGTTTTGGTTCTTGGACAGGACAGGGAAAGGGAAAGGAAGGATAAGGGATGTGATTGATGAAAAAAGTTACACGAACACACACAGCATATTGCACTGCGATTAGTTTTGCAAACCAACGCCCCATGTATACAACGCATACAGGAAAAGGGCGTTGGTGCGGGCAAGGGGCACGCGCAAGGGCACAAGTCTATACATACCTTAATTATTAATTATATTTGTACATGAGATATTTTCTTGGATTGAGATATGAAGATGTGAATCCTTGGGGAAGGGGAGAGAGTGTTTGGGGGGGGCAGGGTGTGTGTGTGAGTAGCTGTCACATGCAGGTGGGAGGGAAGGGATCAGCAATGTAGGTACAGCGTGTTCACATCACACTGCAGATGTGTTTGGAGACTTGACATATCGTCGGGTTGGAATTGATGCCTTATCGTGGTATACATCTCTTGCTGGTTATCTCTTGCTGGTTGGAATCTTTTGATCAACGCTCTCGCTACCGGATGAATTTACAGAGACAGAAATGAGGATATAATTCGAACGGTCAAAGAACTCGAAAACCAGATATCCATCCTCGCCATGCAATCGTGTGTGCTCGTTAATACACATAATACGCTAGGTAGTATATCCATCCCATGAATTTCCCATTTCTGGCTTGTTGGTGTCTGCTAAAAGAAATCAAGATAACAACGAAGAAAGAAAAAAAATGCTATGCCATGCCAGAACAGAAAATATATGAAAAAAAGTCTCAAAACAGTGAGAAGAGAAGTGGAAAAAAAAGTCCAAAACAAATGTAACGCCGCCCCATCGATACCAATGTTACTCATATGCTTAATGTGTGTAAGTGCCAGACCTTCCTTCCTCCTCCTTGGGTATCATATCCTCCCCTCCTCCTTGTCCCTCTCCCCCTCCCTTCCTCCCGACCACACTCCAAACTAACAGCACCTCCCCCCCCTCTGCCCATCAACATACTGCCCCTGGCCCTGATCCCCCGTCCCCAACCCCGGCGTGCTGAACCCCGGACTAAACAACCAACTCCTCCTATCCCTTCCCACCCTAAAACTCCCCCCACTATTCCCCCCTACTCCAAACCTAGCATCAAAATACCCCCCTTGCCCTCCCCCATCCTGATCATCCGTCCCCGCCGTAGCAGCCACACTTGAGAAAAAAGGCGTCTCCGGCCCCATATACCCACCACCATCCAACCTCCCCCCACTAGCAGCCAACAAATCAGCCCTCATCTTCCTGTCCCTCTCCACCAGCTTCCTCGTCACGACCCTAAAAACCTCCTCCACCCCCTCCCCGCTCTCGGCAGAAATCTCATGACAGGCATCCCACCCCACCTCCTGGCCCCAAAACCCAGACGACCGTTTCGAGCTTGGAGATTTCGGTCCAGGGTCGGTGGACGATATAGCCGAAAACAACCCGCTCGATCTCGGGTTCGACGACGAAGCCGCTAGTTCAGAAGAAGACGGTGCAAAGGGTAAAGGGAGGGTGGCGGACGGAGGGGGGGTTGAGCCCCTTCCCGGAGCGAGATTCTCCGCCACATAGGCGATACACCTCTCAAACGGAACCTGTCTCTTCGAAGGGTCCTTCGCGACAATATCCGCCTTTGTCCCGACCACGTGGAGGATGATGTCAGAAGGTAAGTTGCGGCGGAGCTCGGTGAGCCAGAGGGACATTTCGTGGAAGGAGGACGAGTCGGTTATAGAGTAGCAGAGGATGCAGGCGTTTGCGCCGCGGTAGTAGAGGCGGGAGATGGAGCGGAAGCGTTCCTGGCCGGCTGTATGGACGGGGGGAAAAAGAGGTTAGTTAGTGATTTGGGATAAGGGAGAGGAGGGGGAGAACGAGGGGGAGAGGAGGGGGGGGGAACGCAACGTACCGGTGTCCCATATTTGCAGACGGACGAGGGTGTCGGTGTCTGTGTCTACTACCCTCTTCGTCATGAACGATGCCCCGACGGTGGAGGTTGTTTTGGCTGGGTCGAAGGCGCCTTTGCAGTACCGGGTTACGAGGGAGGTTTTGCCTACACCTTGGGAGCCGAGGATGACGATTTTGGCTTCGAGGGCGGACGACATTTTTTGGTGACGGTGTCGCCCCGTGTGTTTTTTGGGTGATTATTTTGGTATGATTATTCGGTATTATCGAGGTCGGGGAAGGTTGGGTTATGGTAGTTCAGATGGGTTTGTGTGTTTGTGTTGACACACCAGTAACAGACCACCACCTGTTTCGTTTCAGTCTGTTTGCTCGTCTGGGGAACAACGGGGCTTGACTCGAGGGAGGGAGGAAACAACACGAACCCCGATTGGGGGTGTGTGTTTTGTCCTGGCTCGCCCGCACGGCACCCAATAACGTGAAGTTCCAGGCGAATCT